GTTTGTGGAACATAATCTTATTAAATCAAAGGAAACCACTCAAAAAATGTTCTAAACTGAAAAAAAGTTTCATTTCTGTCCGCGAAACGTCGATATGTGTATTTTTTCACTTTTTTTTGCTGAGCAAAATATATCTGCTGTTGTTATAAAAAGATTAAATAAAAAATTATTTGAGGCCTTGAGGCCTGCATCGGATCATAGATTATTAAGTTTTTTTTCTCTCTCTTCCACCTATTCCTTTCGTTCATATTATTTGATTTGGTGGTGTCTTATGATTGTTAAAATACATCGTATGATGTTCTAAAATTGATTAAGGCACGATGGGACTGACTAAAAGGACAAAAGGCTTTAAATAAATAAAGTTAAAAAAAATATTGAAATAAATACGGAACCGAGAAATCATTTTTTTTTTAATAAAAATTTTGGCAAATATATGCCTTTGTGTTGAATTAATACTACTACAAGTGCTCGTCTTCATATTATATTTTTTTTGTGGGAAAATATAATGAAACCGAGTCGTCGAGAGCGGCCATCCCTCGGCGCGGGTTTCAACCACGTACTTGGAATGAACGAGAGATGATAAAATAAGGATATTATCAAAAATATAAAAAAAAATTACTATATATATATATATATATATATATATATATATATACATTTATAGAGACTACATATATATGATGCATATAACTAGTCTGGCTAAAAATACTGTTAAAAAAAAACTTTTTTTTTTTTCAACTTTTTAATTATTTTAAATATGGAACACGGTTATTATTTTAAAAACTTCTATCGGTTTCGCGCTATTTCACATATTTTTTCGTGTTCATTATCAAATTGCAATATGGAATGGGGTGTTAAAGAAAAAATAGGATTGCAATGATCGCCTTGCACAAAGTGGGTATGGAGCCGTCGGTCATATTCCAGATACTTCAAAAGCTTGGTATCAGCCGTATGTTCGTACATCGTACTATCAACGGATACAGCAACACTTCCTCTGTCGAACACCAGAAAAGATCGGGGCGGCCGCGTGCTGTTAGAACTACAAAGGCTATTGATGCTGTTAAAGCTAGAATTCTTCGAAACCCTGTTAAGAAACGAAAAATCTTTAATTACGTATAATGTGTATACTAGTCTCGGGACCATGCGGGACACTTAAACTTGAGCGGCGACTTGATATTCCATACTAACTAAACAGTTTAACCCGCTGTGTTTGGCTTGGCATTTTCTTGTCATTATTCGACCTAATTTGATTGTTTCGTTTCACTGGTAGAATATTCCTTTAAAAAGATGCTAACGGTTTTAAATATACTCTGTATATATTAAATTTTACTTTTACGTTAAATAGAGAAAGAGATAAAAACACTATAAGACCAAAACTTATATTATTTGGCCATAATTTTGGCGCCCAACGTGGTGCCGGTTATTGCTCTTATTTGCGAGTCTTTCACGGCGTGAATGTGTCGCGTCGGCGCCATTAGATGCCTATTATGTCTGCCGGGTTGGCTCTCAGCGCCGCCGGTTTTATATTTTTTTACTTTTGTCACAAACAGTTGCTAGGTGAATGGCTGAACAGTCTTGTCCCGGGGTTGCAAGTTTTAATATTCTCTAATGTTCGAATTTTAAATATCAAATAGTTGTTTTAAAATGGACAGGCAAAGAGCATGGCCCATACAGCCTAGTCATAAGTTATTATTGTACTCATGCTTTCCTGGGTGAGCGTATTGGAAGACTGTAAGGCTCACCCAGTGGATGTAGTAAATAAATAAATAAATACTTAAAAAAAAGAAATAAAAGAATACATATACAAAAAAAAAAGGAAAGTACATAAAAGAGATTTATGCCGTGAGGCAGTTGTATTTTCAATTTAAAAAGTGGGATATAGATTTTACAATAGATATCATATATATTTGTAAATTCATATATATTAAAAGTAATATTTAGGTACAATATATATATTTCATAAGAAACAATACAACACAAGTGTTGTGTATAATTATTTCAGTATATTACAATAATTATGTCGAGTTATTCAATTTGATATTGTAACTACAATATATAGTAATTTTTATATATTGCATGTAGCGGCCCTTGTCATCAGTTTAATTAAACACATTAAAGTTTATTTTTATAACTTCGAATTTAAGCAAATTTGTATTACAATTTTTACTCGTCGTCGACTTATATTAGACTGACCGACTGACTTGACAATTGAATGACATATTAAATATCAAATCTGACAGATGCTACTGACAGCTTACACAGATACTAAAATCTTACATTACCCATCCCTAGTATATATGCCTTGTGCTTATCAAGTGCCTATTTACAAAGCACCTTGCATTCTGTACAACTTTTTTTTTTTAATATCGATTTGGCGCCCCCACAGAACAATGTGTACTAATGGCGTCGCCTCGTTACGCACTCAGCTCGCAATTATCAATGCGACCGTTACGTGTCTCGGCTGAATATCTCGACACTAGTTGCAGATTTGTAATGTGGAATTATGTATTTCACCAGAGGGCGATATTGTTCTGAGTAGTTCGGGTACCACTGCCGCTAAGCAGCTTGCTTGCTAGTTTGAAGGGTGAGATATGGCAGTGAAAATACTGGGTACTATAACAAAGGCTGGAATCGAGCAAGTGATATCTTCGGTAGCCGCTTACAACCAGATTAACCGCAGCATAACAAATTAGTAGCGATTCTGTCTGTGCAGGATACACCTTACTCTCTTTATTTTTGAAGTGGTTGTCAAAGTATGGGACCCATATATCTGCATATATGAGTATTAATCGCCAAAATGATAGAAAAATTCTCGATCAATATTACTCTGATAAAAATATTCAGTTCCACTGAAGAATAGATAGAATGTTCCATTCAAAGATTTCGATTTCCCCCTGTCAAAAAGTGAAAAAACTTAAATACGTTTTTTGACTTTTCTATATGATCTCTTTAGACGTGGATGCGTACCACGATCCCTGTTTGCTAATGTATTTACACGCGCGCCGATGCTGTAAGCCGCGTCTCTTTGCACCAAAACTTTGATGCACAAAAGCGCTTAGCGGATCACGGCGGCCGCTGCTTCTCGCTCAGATTATGTTATGTAGGTATTTGATGATGTAGAATTGCTGGATGCGTCAACTATGTTTTTATGTTTTTTAAGGTCATACCATATTAGACGTTAACTGTTCACCGCTCAAAATAGGCCTCTTCCTTGAGGCGGTTTTGCCAGTACTTGCCACGCTTGGAAGGTGGGTTGGCAACCGCAGTTAGGCTTTTAAAGGGGCTTCCCGAATAATAAATAAATTTTGCTCTGCAAAAAAACTCAGCAACCTCCAATCATATATACATACATATATATCTGTCACGCGTGTCTCCCATTAGGATAGGCAGAAACAATGGAACTCCAAATGCTTCGATTCAGACAGACCTCTTTCGCTTCTTTCACTTTCTTAAATCGATATATTTTTAAATAAAGCAGTTTTTGCAGTTTTATAACCGTCACTACTTTAATATGAGACTAACAATAAACCTTATACGGCATCAGATGGACCACCCTTTTCTTTACTAAGGCTAGACTAAGGGAGCGTAATGGTCGAAGGGATTGGCAGCAGTGTCCATTTTAAAACGTCTCCAAAACCTAACTGCGGTTGCCAACTCGCCCGCCAAGCGTGGCATCTACTGGTAAACTCAATGGGGAAGGCTTGTGTTCACCAGTGGGCAGTTAACGGCTGAAATGATAATTTTGAAATGATAAAAATTAACCAAATAACACTGTCCTGAGTTGAACATTAATTACAGTAATACATCTAATTGTCCAAGAGTCGGTACAAGGCAAACGTTCTCGGGGTACATCACCAACGCGATGTACTGACCTCATCAAAAGCCACACAGCAGTCTATTGTGGAATGTTCTCACTCGGCTGTGAGCAGAAGTAGATAGAGACGCATTGCGAGGACCTCAGTCGCGAAGGAGGGCCTCATCGGCGATCCACTATCATTGTGAAAACCACGACCACTCTGTCAAGAATGTTCGACTGAAGAGAGTTGGACATTCCACCGTCTGAACATTAATGTTTCGAACATTAGAACGGCACAAAGCGAACGATTAAACACTTGTGCGGTGTGTCGCACACGAGCGGGCCTCGTCCCGACTCGCGGTGCGTTTCTAACAGTTTTAGCCATCAAGGATTCCTTTAGGGTTGCCCCATATAATATACTTTGAATGGATACTTTTTTTATTTGAATTTAAAATCTTAAAAGAGGCTTGTTTTAAATATTTACAACTAATTGGTGTTTAGGACTTTATTTATTTATTATTTTTATTTAACTCTTTACTGCATCAAAATATTGGAAAATTCAAATTAAATACAGATACAGATTAAAATAGGTAGGTAGGTATTAAAATAGGTATAATAGATAGGGCAATTACCCGCGTTAAATTAACCCTGATATACACTAGTTAATTTAACCACAGTCTAAATTATTCTTACTATGTGTCTTTAGCACGCCATTACCTTACCTTACTGATCTGAAAGTGAGTTTGTTTGTTTGTTCTCGTTTGGTGCTTTAATGGCACAAACAGTCGTCAAGAAATTTGGCACATATGTGCTATTTGGGACAAAGATGGGCATAGGCCACTTTTTATCGCCGTCGATCATGTATTCGGTCACGCGGACAAAGTAACGGGTAAAGACCAGTATTATATTTCGTATAATGAAGTATAAAGACGGCGTGTTATTCCCGGCATAGAATGGGTCACCCCTCCCTTTCTCATGGGTGTCGTAAGAGGCGACTAAGGGAACTTAATGGTAAAGGAATTGACAGAGCAGCATCTCTCTTAAAACATCAGTTAAAGCCTAACTGCAGTTGCCAAACCGCTTGCCAAGCGTGGCAATTACTGGCAAAACTCGCCTTCTGGAGAAGGCTTAGCAGTGGACAGTTAACGGCTGAAATGATGAAGTTGTTCAGTTTTAGACAATAATTCCTACCTTTTTGTTATAGATCGGCAATCATATGGCCCAAGACGGGGTGGGTTTGTTCCATACCAGGCCGAAGGTTACCAACAGAGCACGAGCCAAAACTACCAGAGCTTCCAGAACTTCAACCGCTCCGGCTACGGCTACCAGGATAGAGCAGGCAATCAAGATAGGTCCGGCAACCAGAGCAGACCCGGCAGCCAGGGTTACAACCAGAACAGATACGGCGACCAACAAGGTCAGACCTACCAGCAAAAAAGGGATAAATACGCGAAACCAAACCAAGGCCCGCACGGATATAAACAATCGAATTTTTACAACTCGCAGACACCGCACCAGTATCATCAAAATAGATATGGTAGCAGTCAAGGTGGTCACAGTTCACAGCAGAGTAGGCGGTACCCGGGGAACTCTGGCAACCAGGCTGGTTGGCGTTGATAACTTCTGTCATAATAGATTAAAATTAAACCCCTTATTTATAAAAATAGAATAAAAATGTCAAAACTGTCATAGACTTATTTTAGTCTATGATGTGTACAGATTTTTTTTTTATGAATAAGGAGGTAAATGTGTGTATATATATAATAAAAGGTAACAGCTGGTCTGCTCTTGAATCCAATATCAATCCAATCCAATATTGCCAATGACAATTTTATACTGCACTCATGAAAGTTAAGCAGTTAGGAATAAGTTTATAATTGAAATCTGTTTACAATATTGCATTAATGATAGATGTATATTAGTGTAGCTTGCCAATGCATCTATCAGAACAATATGGAGCCATTACGTCGCTAGTATTGCAATTTGAGAGTGCAAAACGTCTCAATTTAAATATTGGTTTTTATTGGTTGGATTTTATTTCAAGAGTCACCCCACTGAACTCCTATTTAGTTGATATAAATTAAAAAACCAGACAATCACTGTGTGGTATATAGATATATCTTATATCTTGAAGGGTCAATATGCAGTTTGCACTGATATAGTTAAGGTAAAATATGCGCTGGTTGATTAGTGGTTTAAACAAAACATCTCCCATCTTACAACCAGCGTTGTACTATTTCTTAACAAATTTAAAAGCGTTATACCGCACTGCTCGAATGTATTATGTACACAGGGAGCCTCTATGTATTTAATATTACTGTACATTATGATCGATTCTGTATAGAAATATAAATATTGATTATTGACAGTTACGTACTTACTGCAAGATAGATCATCCATTTTTATCTGATGATAAATTGGAGATTTTTTTTTCTTTGCTGATTTTAGGTAGAAGGAAAGGAAGACTATAAGATAGCGATTTTTTTTTTTAAGTTGTGTATAGATTGTTGTGTAGGTACGCTCCTCCAAAATCCGAAAAATTAAAAATTTGTTAGTAAAAATATTTACAAGGTTTCAACCAAGGAATATATATATATATATATATATATATATATATATATATATATATATATATATATATATATATATATATATATATATATATGTATGTAGTCTGTATGGGTTTTTATGGCAATATCAAACGATGACATAATAAACAGCAAATGGTATTACAATTTTACAAAATTAAATTCTTTTGGCCTCACTTTATCATTATTATAATAAATAGCAATAAGATTTCTGTAAATAGAAAAAAAAAAAATGTTATCAATGTTAAGCAGTAAATTCATACTTAATTTTGTTGTTGAATTTTTTTTTCTTCTCTTACTTTTTTTTTTAAGGTATCGACCATATTTGACTGCAGTTTACTTATTTTAGGTTAAAATTTTGTTTAAGACTATACACATTTTAAAATACATGAAGATATACCGATATAACGTTCAGAATCATTGTGATTATGCCTTTTTTTTTTATTATAAATGCCATTTTTGTAATTGACGACTTCAAAATGATTCTTTCTTGTAAGATTAATTTTTATATTTAAGTGAGTTTTGGCCAATAATTATTAATATTTCATATGTTATCATTGGAAGTTGCCAGTGTATCTGTTGTTAATCTCAAATTAATAAAAGGCTGATTTTTTAATATTGGTAATATAATAAAAAAAAAACAAATATACGTCAATGTAACTGCTTCATTATAACGTCAAAGATCCAGTATAAGTCTCTTACACGAAGCTGGGAGAAATGGTTGTAAAAATAAACACTGATCGCCATAGAAGAAGGAGACTTTGTACAAAAGTCGATTGCTTGGCTACCACTGTCCCATTCGTGTTTCAACCGTGAAGCAGTTGTTTGCATGGCTGTGTTTCGGTTTGAAGGGTGGAATTTGGCGTGAATTTACTGGGTACAGAGGAATAACACCTGAGTCCTCAGGAATGGCAACGTATGAGGGGTATCATGGGCGAAACAGTATAGTCTGTTATGTACATAGTACTGCTCATATCTATAGGCGACGATTACCACTTTCCATCAGATGGGCCGTCGACTTGTTTGCCATTCTAAGTTGTTTAAAAAAAAAAAATAGAAGAAAAATAGAATAGAACCTGCATCCTTAGACAAAGTACAAACGAATCTATCTATAGAATCGTTTCGGTAAGCGCTCGCTTGAAAAAGAACGAGATAGCACATGTCGCTATCTCATTCTATATCATGAGCTCGCCAGTGATAACGATTTGATTAGTAGATTCGTACGTACTTTGTCTGTATGGGTTTTATTTAGCTATAGCCATATTTAAAGAATACAAACTCGGGATCCCGAATGTCAAAGGCAATTATATAATTGTATATATATAATTATATATATATAAATTTATTGTATAAATTAAAACAATTAATCAAATATAATTTTAGAACGACCACAGATATAGAAAAATAAAATTTGGTGTTAACAATTGTAATACAAGATTTGAATCTTATTTCAATATTGTATTAAGAATAATATACAAGAAGTTTTTGTTAGAAGGTCGATGGCATAATTTGTTTTTTTTTTTTTTTTTGTATCTGTGGTCATTAAAGAATTGTTTTTAATTATTTGTTTTAATTTATACAATAAATTTATATATAATTATTTCAGCTGCATATAAAACGGCCAGTTGCCTTTGTCATTTGGCATCCCGGGATGGAATACTGTAGCTATATTACGTCTTTAAATGAAGAGACAAGTAACAAAACACGCAAATATTTGAAATTAACGTTAGATTGATATATCATAGACAAATTGAAATAGATATAAAGTAAAAGGAATACAGAATGATTGGGGACGTTTTCATGATAAATATCATCACGTCCCTAACAACTTAGAATACGGCTGAATAAACAAGCTGACGGCCCATCTGATGGAAAGTGGTAACCGTCGCCTATAGACATGAGCAATACCATGGACATAACAGAGTATACTGTTTCGCCCATGATACCCCCCATGCGTTGCCATTCCTGAGGACTCAAGTGTTATTCCTCTGTACCCTGTAAATTCACGCCATATTCCACCCTTCAAACCGAAACACAGCTGCTGCACGATTGAAACACGAATGGTACAGAGGTACACAAGCAATCGACTTTTGTACAAAGTCTCCCTCTGGTAAAATCTATTTATCCGACTTACAAAAGAAGACGGTTTTCAATTTAACTGAATTTTCTAATTATATATATTTTTAATTATCTAATTGTTATAATAACGTTATCGACAATAGTCGAAGAAAAAGTAACGAAAAAAAATACTGTCATGCGAACAATATTCTAGCACAGTTTGGATGGTATAGAATGGTAACCCCGCTGTGCTAACGTTATATGTTGATGGGGTACCAGTGATGGATGATAGATGATGATTAGGACTGATCACTTCATGATGTAGCCGACTATTTCATGAAATGGTTATATTAAATCATATCAGCCAGTAACTTTACACTGCTATATAATATAGATTTTTTTTTATAGCGACTAAATAAAAGTAAATAAATAATATGTAAAAATTAGGGCGCCTTCTGGCAACACCGGTTTCTCAGTTTAGTGTTAACACGTTCACGCCGCGGCCAATTTTAATGTTTAATACATAAACGTTAAATTTTCATTATTTCTAATAGCACAGTCGAATACGTACCACCGGTGGTACGCGCCGCCAGAAAAGGCAGTGTAGTGCGGGCCGCCGGTGGTACGCGCCGCCAGATAAGGCAATCTAGTGCGGGCCACTGGTGGTACGCGCCGCCAGATAAGACAATTTAGTGCGGGCCACCGGTGGTACGCGCCGCCAGATAAGACAATCTAGTGCGGGCCACCGGTGGTACGCGCCGCCAGATAAGACAATCTAGTGCGAGCCACCGGTGGTACGCGCCGTCAGATAAGACAATCTAGTGCGGGCAAGTGGTGGTACGCGCCGCCAGATAAGACAATCTAGTGCGGGCCACCGGTGGTACACGCTGCCAGATAAGACAATCTAGTGCGGGCCACCGGTGGTACACGCTGCCAGATAAGACAATCTAGTACGGGCCACCGGTGGTACGCACCGCCAGATAAGACAATCTAGTGCGGGCCACCGGTGGTACTCGCCGCCAGATAAGACAATCTAGTACGGGCCACCGGTGGTACACGCTGCCAGATAAGACAATCTAGTGCGGGCCACCGGTGGTACGCGCCGCCAGATAAGACAATCTAGTGCGGGCCACCGGTGGCCCGTTGCTGCGTGAACGTGTTAAACAATCATAATGTGGCGATGTACTGAGAAAAAAAAATTGTAATTATTAAATTAAAAATTTATTCAATCAGTATGTTTTAGTCCACGTTTCACACCCATATTATGATATGCTCCAAATGTAATTTTTTCTATATTGTTTATGGTTTTTTTTTTCGGATATTTTTCATGTAAATATGTATTTTTCCGATTATTATTCTAGGTCTAATATCCAATGTGCATCTAGCGCGCCCTCTGTGATGATTATACATCTTATATTGTCATGGGAACTGATAATTTGATTATTAATGCAAATTAATTTTTTGTACAAATTATTTTTACATAATAAAGAGTTTAGTTTTCTTATAATTATTATAATAAATTTATTGGACCATATTGTTTTGTTTCTTTTAATCCTTACTAATTATTGTATATTTTGATTGGTGATCCAACAGCTAGCGTGGAGTTTGGTAAACCTACATTTTGGGTAAAAAATGATATTTTACTAATATAATAAAATATATAACTACACGATGTCTGTACATGGGATATTTTTGAGAAAAATTTATATGAGGTGTCTTAAAAAAACAGAAGTCAAAACAATACTTTTTTTTAAGATTTTGTCCGTTTGTTTCGGTCTCTTTTAAAAACTACTGCACCTAATTTGTTGCGGTCTTTGCAGTTGTGTCCCTGAAGCTCTAACTTAATATCTAGTATATGTTTTATTTTTATTGATATAAAAGTGCATTATTTAATTTCTTTTTCTACTCCTGAAAATCACGTGTATGAAGTAGCGGGCAGAAAACTATTGCCCCCTTATTGATAAAAACGTTTAACCTGTCATAAATCTATTTTAGTTATTGACCTGTTTTGTCTATTTCTTTTATGCTAAATTCTAAATTAAAAAAAAAATAACAAAAAAACTATAGGGAGACTACAAAAGTCGATTGCTTGGGTATCTCTGTCCTATTCGTGTTTCAACTGCGAAGTAGTTGTGTTTGCATGGCTGTGTTTCGGTTTGAAGGGTGGGATATGGCGTGAATTTACAGGGTACAAAGGAATAACACCCGAGTCCTCAGGAATGGCAACGCATGGGGAGTATCATGGGCGAAACAATATACTCTGCTATGTCCATGGTACTGCTCATGTCTATAGGCGACGGTTACCACTTTCCATCAGGTGGGCCGTCAGCTTGTTTGCCATTCTAAGTTGTATAAAAAAAAAACTTTTTCAACTATTATAGTTGAAATAGGTTTGTAGAAGGTTTCAGCTTTTATGATCAAGGGTAGGGTAGGGTAGACTACAATAGTGAATCTTAGAAAATATTTACTGACCTAAAACTGTAAAACGCTATTCGTGTAAAAAGTTAAATTAATAATATATTAATTTTATATATTAAAAATAATATCCTTGCTTCAAAAAAATCTGTAATTATTTTTAAATTTAACATAACTGTCAAACATTTTCCAATATGGCGCACAATGGCGGTCTGAAGTGGCGCGTTTGTGCAACGATCAATAGTTTTTTAATTCTTTTTTTTTTTGCGGCACAATCGAAGGTTCGTAATCGTTCGACATGAAAGGAAATTAGGGGCCCTACATACTGGCTGGAGGCCACTCGAGCAATGAATGAGGTACGAACTTAACGGAGATTTTAAGATTTTTTTTGTACAGGTAAGCACTGCAAATGGGCCGTTAATAATTCGTCGGGCTCGGAAGTTCGCTGGTTAAGATTTGTAAGTAACATCTGTATAAGGTGTTTTACTTAAGCAGTATGTAACTGCAAACGAGTAAAGCAATTGCAGTGATTAATATATAAACAGCGA